AGGTATAATCACCCATTCAAATCATCCTAGAGACCCGGGGCATCTAAAGGCAGTTTTGTGTATGTCTTCTTCAGCTATATAAATTTGATTGTATCCTGAATATCCATCCATGAAAGAATACATGACATGTCCGGCAGTTGAATCTACTAAAGAATCCATCGTGGGCATTGGATACTCATCTTTGGGTGTGGCTATGTTTAAATTTTTAAAGTCTATACACACCCTTAGTTTACCGTTCTTTTTTAGTACTGGCACGACACTGGACAACCATTCGACATATCTGGTTGTTCTAATGAAACCTGCTTTCAATAATCGCTCTATCTCTTTCTTGATTTCAGGGAGTACATTGGGAGCAAAACGTCTAGGAGGCTACCTATGAGGTTTAAAGTTAGGCTTAGTTGGTAACCTATGTTCCACCAAGTCTCTATCTAAACCAGGCATTTGTTCATATTCTCAAGCAAAACAATCTTTGTACTCTTTTAGCAAAGCGATTAACTTGTTACTAACCTCTTGGTCGAGCATTTGGCTGATGAACGTTGGGCGATCTTCTCTTTCATTGCCAATATTTACTTTGATCAGAGGGTCTTGTGTTTGAGCGTATCCAGGTTTGGCGATCCGCATTACTTCGTCGTCCAGTTCCCTTGTAAGTACTTCCTCTTCTAAACAATCCACCTTGTTGACTTCTCGGTCAATGCTTTGCTCTAACTTGAATCCTGCCAACTTGTCCTTCAGCGCTTTTAGGGCAGTCTTTTCCTTCGCCTTGTCATTGTATTCCTTATTAAAAGCCATCAGTCTGGCTTTGAAGGCCTGAATGTCGGCCATTTGCTTTCGTAACTCAGAATCCATTCAAGATTCCTTGATTATTCTTTTGCCAATCACTGGCTCTTCCAGGGCCACGATATTTGGCCTCATCTGTTTGAACATCTCAGTGAGTGCGTCCACTGAGAATGGTTCTTCGCTTTGCGCGACAACCTGAGTTTCTTCCCCATCTTGTACTACCCTGACAGGTCCATAGTTTCCTTCGTACATGAACTTTTCTACCGAGTTTGCTTCTGCGACAAAAGGCCTATGATCGGCCTGTACCACCTCTGCTTCGCCTTTGTCATTCCAAAATATCAGGCATTGATGGAGCGATGAAGGTATACAGCGACTTCCGTGTATCCAATCTTTTCCTAGTAGCACGTTGTAACTAGTAGGACCATCTATTACAAAGAAGACAGAGGTCCTAGTAGTCGTCCCTATAGTTATGTTCAATGGCATAACTCCCTTAGCTGAAGTTGCTCCTCCATTGAAGCTAGTGAGATGACTTCTGTAGGAATCATGTCACCCTCTGTCTTTGAGAACTTCCTCATCATCCTAGATGGAATGGTGTTTATAGTTGCTCCATTGTCGACAAGCACTTTTGCCACTGGGACACCGTTAATTAGAGCTTTAACGTATAATGGCCTCAAGTGTTTAGTCAATTTCATGGCTGGACGTTTAAAAATAACCTTTTCGACAGCCTCTATTTCTACTTCCTACTTGTTTTCTGTCGAATTATCCCCCTGTGATAGGTCGACGTAATGACATGTCCGGCAGTTGAATCTACTAAAGAATCCATCGTGGGCATTGGATACTCATCTTTGGGTGTGGCTATGTTTAAATTTTTAAAGTCTATACACACCCTTAGTTTACCGTTCTTTTTTAGTACTGGCACGACACTGGACAACCATTCGACATATCTGGTTGTTCTAATGAAACCTGCTTTCAATAATCGCTCTATCTCTTTCTTGATTTCAGGGAGTNACTTGAATTTTGGCAACTTGTTTTTGAATCCAGATGTCACCATGTTTACTCCAAGTGGCTGTGGGAAAGGATTCTCGTCTACTACTATCTTTTTCTTATCATCGAACGTAATTCGTTCTGATTCAATGGCATCCTGCAATACATGGTGGAAAACCAAGCAATTGTTAGTCAAATGTGACCATGCATTATGCCACTTACAATATTTTTTACCCTTAATTTGTTCAGGGTTTGGCAATTTGTGCTTATCGCTCAACTTTATCTGCTTATCCCTATATAATTTATCGAATATAAGGTCAGCTTTGGTCACGTCGAACGAGAACGTTCTAGCCTTTATGTTTCCATCTTTTATGGGCTCATCTTTGCTCGATGGTCTGGGCTTAGCCATTATGGGACAAGTATATGTATCCCCTTTGACCAATTCGGCCAAACACATTTCGGCCTGATCGTATAACTCGTCGTCGATGGTATGAACGTCAAAATTTGGGTCTTTGTAATAAGTCCCTTTACTAGAATTTTTCATTTGTTCTTCCTCTCTTATCAGTCGCTCATACCTAATCACATTCGCACTTAACTGGAAAAGGTCAGGAAATTCCTTGTCCTGGAACTTCTTTTTTAAATCAAAGCTCAAGCAGCCCTGAGCGATCTTGACAAATTCTTTTTTAGGCAGAGGTACAAAACACTTGCTTCTTGCTGTCTTGAACCTTTGGAGAAAACTTTCTGCCCATTCGTTTGGCATTTGACGTAGATTCGCCAAATCAGCTAAAGTGACTTCAAACTCAATTTTATAAAATTGAGCGTGAAACAACTGTTCCAATTGTTGCCATATTTGAACAGAGTTCGTTGACAAGTTGATGAACCAGGAGAAAGCTACTCCTGTTAACGAACTAGGGAAAAGCCTCATTTTATGGTAATCGGTTACATCACTACTTTGCAATGTGAATCGTCCTATGTGTTCTAGAGTAGACACCTCTCCTAAACCGGTAAACAGTGAGAATTCTGGCACTTTGTACCCTCTAGGCCATGGGTATGCTTGGTCTACCCAATCAGGATATGGTTTTGTGTACGTCGGCCTAATGACGGGACGTACCCCAAAAGTCATCTGATCCTGTACGATTTCCATAATCTGGTTTCTCAACATGACGTTGGGATCATATGGAATTCCTACAGGCTGATTAACCGGTTGATTTGCATGAGGCCTGATGTTTGGTACTTGATTGGCAACAAAATTACCATAATTAGGGCCATTACCATTAGCCTGAACATCTGTTCCTTCATTAACACGTGGGGTGTGTTGTCCATTGTTTAGGACATTATCTCTTATGTTTGGATTACCCCCCAAGTTAGGCATACTATTACCATTGTTCTGATTTGGCACTGTAGTACCCCCTTGGTTTGAAGTAGAGGGAGCAAAAAGCGATTTTACCCCTTGATTCGGATTTAGGATCGAGAGATTATGTCTCACAATTGTCCTAGTTTGAAAGTGGTTTGTAAGAGGTATAGCCGGTTGACATATTTGGACTACTAACTTATTCATTGTTTCGTTCAACGTCTTTAGTTGTTTGGCCATGTTGTCATAGTGTACATTTCTATTTTGTGTAAATCTTTCCATATTATGAATACTTCGAAGATTTACCTGTTCAACGACGTCTTGCGTGAGTTCTCCAAGTAATGCACGCATGGTTCTAGAATCCAACTCCGTCATTGGTTCGTAACGACTGTTACTGCTCTGGTTCTGTCCATCTGTTCGTGGAGAGGCATGCTGCTCCTCATATCGCTCGATCACAGACTGGATTCCTCCCTGACTTGCTGCTTCCTTATCGGATATCTGAGGCATACTGTTTCACCTTTTGTACTCTCAACACCTAACACCACTGTCCCACTGGGCGTGCCAAATTGTTTCACGCGGGTTAGTCGCTAACAATTAAAAAAGGATCATACAATTGTGTAAGGGACAAACCTCTTGAGACAAAGTCCCAAAAAGGGGGTGTTCTTTTATTGACGATGACTTTACAATTGGAAATTAAAAACAACGTGCCTCCAAGGGGCGCAAGCACGCGAGTTACTGAAAGAAAAGTGTTTAAATCTAAGCTAAGGAAATGAAAATTATATATTCTCTATTTGAGAGTTTTTGATTCGGTCCTTTGCTTTTATGTCCTTTTTTCCTTTTATACTTCATGGACGATCTCTTTGTGATCAACCGCCCTAAAAACTGATTGATCGTCCTATAACTGCCCACTTTCTTCGTAATGGCCAACTTGTCATGAAAACTGCCTCTTTTAACTGCTGCCATTACACTTCATCGTTCAACCGCTTTCGATTGAATTTCTTGAATCATGGAACGTGATAGGGCTGCTCTAATAACTGTTTTGATAACTGCACTTCTTGATAACCACGACGCTCTATATTTGTTAAGACCTTGGGTGACTTGAAGGTTTGGGCGAGAATAGAGTAACAGCTCTGGGCGACTGTATGACACTCCATTCGCTCAGATTCTGAGCGACTTGCAAACTTGGGCGATGGCGTTACCGCGTTCTTGGGCCTCCTTATTTGGGCCTTCATCTTGATTTGTTTGATTGGGCTTCGTTCTTTGGGTTATCTGATTTGAGGATCCTCCAATTGGGCTTCACTCCTTGAGCTGCTCGATTTGGGCTGAATTTTTATGTGTCAACAAGATTAAAATCAAATTTTTATTATATTTTGATAAAATTAGATAAAATGTATTATTAAAAAGTTATGATTTCTATAAAATGTGTGATTAATATTAATTGTTGATTTTAATTTAAATTAAAATATAAATTTTAGTTTTTGTCAGACGGGAGCAGAAATTGACTTACCCATCTAAAAAGTCCAATTAGAGGACATAGAAAGTAGATTCACTCCTCATATTAAATTAAGGCAAAAACAAAAAAGATAAATAAATAACAAATACTAAAGTGCTACGTAACGTATGGATAGAAACCATCTTCGGAGATATGGACGATCGAGGATAAAAATGAGACAATAAATATATAACTGCTACAATAACAAACATGGAGGACCTTTGATGCAAATTTCTGGCCCAAAACAAGTGTCAATCGACTAAGCACGGTGCATGGGAGACAAAAACAAGTGTCAAATGACCTAATAACCACGTAACCAATCGAACGGTCAAGGATCAATCACCATCATAGTCACACACTAATGAATCATGTATCAAAAAATAAGAAAAATCTCTTCGAAGAAAAGATTTATTTTGTCAAAAAAGGGGAAAAAAAAATCCAAAAATCCCCAAATCCAATTCCTTCAATCTTTTGCTCATGGAACCTAATAATGACAGCAGTGGACTGAGCTCTTACTTCCTCCATCAGCTCCACGGCCAATCTCCTCCGCCACCACCAACCTCCGCCGCTCCCGGAAACCTATTACCGGCAAATGGAGTTGTACCTAACAGTACGACCACCACCAACATGGCGTACCTCCATAGCGTCCCTTCTGCGGTGTCATCTCCTTTGGAGACTGTGAAGAGGAAGAGGGGAAGACCCAGAAAGTATGGTACTCCTGAGCAAGCCGCCGCTGCTAAGCGTATGTCGGGCTCTTCCGTGCCCAAGAAACGGGACAACCAGGATTTGACGGCGGCGGCGGCTGCCGGATCTTCTGGTTCTTACTCCTATCATTCCAAGAAGTCCCAGTTGGCTGCTCTCGGTAATCCTCCATTTCTCACTCTCGTTCTATCTGTTCATATCAACATATACATGCATGTATGTATAATGTACTGTTTTGGATGTATGTATGTTATTTCGTTTGTATGTATGCATGCATGCACTCGAATAACCTTTCGAATTGTGTCTCTTAGTTATGTGGATGCTTCACGTTTTATCTTTATATGGTAATATTTGCCGATTAGAGAAAAAAATTTCTTAGCTCTTTTCCGACTCCTCGCAGTTATCTGATTAATTTACTCGAACTGTTTTTGGTTGTTTAGATTTTCCGGAATCTTACAATGTTTAAGTCAACAATTCTTGATAATGTTGTGTTTATTGTAGTTCTGCAAATGATACAAGAAGTTAGGTAGGTGTGGTGAAGGAGATTCATTTTTCCCCCCTGAAGTTATTTTGGCCAACAAACCATGTCTTTAAGTTCACTAAAACTAGAGTAGAAGTTGCAGGCCATGATACTTCTCGAACAGAAAATGCATGCCTTTTACCATTACAGTCTTTTGTGTAGTTTTTGCACATAGAAGGGTAGAACCATGTAAAGTGTACTTCGGCGTATGAAATTTGTCTTTTATTTCTCTAATTGTTCTGTTGAGTTGTTTGAGATTAAGAGATTTCTTCAACCAACAATTGTGAGTCCATGACTCACTGAAGTATGGTGACCTTGTTCTTGACATTTTCGGAAGAACATGCATATGACTCACTAAACAGTTCTTATATAGGTCTAGACTTGCCGATTTCTATATATTCTGGGGCATTGTGCTTTCACGTGCTCTTGTAGAGCTCTCGAATAAACTGCTTCATTCTTGAGTTGCATTCAATAGTAATTAGGTTTAATATAGATGCACCTGAGAGTTACATGAAAAATAGGCGTGTTATTTAATATGCACAAAATGTATGATGTTGTATTGTCAACCATAGTTCTCCCAACTAGCCTTTAAGCTCCCCCAATTTTCGGATCATTTATACATGGAGAAAAATAGAATGTCATAATCTTCCAAATTGTTTTAGAATTCTAGCTATGTGCCATGTCATGCTTTCGAACTACAAAATCACACTCCTTAGTAGTAAACCTGTCTCAGTGGAAATAAAAACAAATGGAAAGTACTAGAAATGAAAATAAGCAAAATTAGGTGACATGTGGAGGGAACTCTGTGCATATGGAGCTTAATTTGACAAAAGAAGAGAACTTAGATATGTGATGGCATGGTGTTCAAACTGGCCTCTTCCCAGACAAAACAAAAAAATCATAAAAAGGAGAGGTTAGCGAATCTTTATCAGTATGTATATCAAATGTCAAAGCTTAGCTTCTTTGCATAATTTACACAAGGTATTGGAACTTCTGCTTAACACATATGCCTTACACAGAAAATCATTGCAGTTATAACATATAAATACTTCTCAGTAATTTAATGTTAGGCGCACTGTCTATCTTTGCACTTTATGAAATGTTGGCATGTGTTTGTTGTAAGAGCATATTTTATATGGGCTTCATTTGCTTGAAGTTTTTTTTAGTTTCTTTTCATTCTGCGCTTTTCATTTTTCCTTTCTTAATCATGGGGCAAGTAGGCCATGCTCATGTGATATTTCTCTTTCTACCTGGGTGGTGCAGGCAACATTGGCCAAGGCTTCACTCCTCACATCATTAACATAGTTGCTGGAGAGGTATGATTTTACACACTGGCTATAAAATCAAATCATATTTACATATTAGTACTGGTATAAGATGTAAAAGCTTCCTTTATTTGATAGAATTCTTTGCGTCATTATGCTAAGAACGTAAAATGAGTATTATTGCTCATGGTAAACTACTTTTTGTTTTTATTATTTTTTTTTAAACATAAGTCTTTTTTTTTTTTTCGATTAATGGTGGTTATCTTTTATATTTGAACTAATAGATGGGAAAGCATTTTGTTATTATCGGGAGAAGAAGTTACTTGATCAAATCCTTTGGAGTTTGGACTTAATTTTGCTGAAAGTGAAATGATATAAACAAAAAAGTCATTGCCATTACTGTCTATATTAATTTGCCACGCTCTCTATTATGTTTGCAATATGTTACCAATACATAGTCTCTGTATTGCTGCATTTCATGCCATGGTCTATGAGTACCTTTGGTCATGGGGTGTGTGTGTGTGTGTTGTATATCAGGGATACCTGAATGTATTTAGAAGAAAATGTGTAGCATGGCTGGTTCATAAGCTTTGTTGAAACTTGTGATTATCCAATGACAATCTATAGCATATTCTTTTTCTTCTTTTACTATTGCAAGATCCTTCTTTTATTTTATTTTCTGTATCTTTCCATGAGTTCTCTTACATGCAATTTATATGTTAATCTGATGCATTATGTGCTGAATAGTTTGTGCTCAAGGTCATATCTTCATTCTGTGTTCGACTTACTATCTTGCGGAACTCTTACTTGGATCTGACCATAAAGCCTGCTAGTTTACGTTTTAAATTAACTAGACAAATTACAGCAATATTGCAAGGGCCTTCATCTGATAGTTTTTATAAAGTAATTATAAATCTATCTACAAACTTGAAGAGTCCATGTTCGTATTGAAAAAGTTCAGAGAGAAATCTAGGTGTGAATGTGGATCAGTCAGGCATAGAGAGAATTGTTATTTAAGTTATATCTCAAAACGATGGGCGTTTTGCAAAAAGATAAATATGCCTCATTTGTCCAGAATGTCTTGCATCATGAAGAAGCAGAGGGAGAGGTATTAGCTGCATGTTATCCATCGAAGTTTCTACTTTGATATTCTTAATAAGAAATCAAAAGGATAGATTATTGAAAGACTAAGCAATGTGCGATGTTAGATCGCATCATGATTAATGAAACTTATCCGGTCTTGAACATAGAAGACTAAATCGTGGTATCTTTTATTGCTATTTTTTGTTCAACATGGAATTTTCTCCACTTATTCTAAATCCAAAAATGGGAACAAAATACTTTTTGACCAGACCGAAATAGAGTTATATACATTCTCAAGGGATTTGTTTGAGCATCTCTAGCTTGTTTAAAAATTAAATGTGATCCAATAAATTCAGAGTTGATTCCTTCTGCATAAACACATCAGTTACTAATTAGTGCATTCATATGCTCATTCAGATTTCCTTTTCAAGAGTATTGTAACTAAGTCAAATTTATAAAACAATCTGGTCAGCATTCTGGCATCGAGTCAGGGCATTCGTTCCATTAAAATTCTTTGAACAGACACATTGTGCTGCACATATTTATCTTATTAAGTTATTCATTTCTTGAGCATGTGCAGGGGTCTTGATCTAGATGGCTATTTACAATTTGCTTATTAATGATTCTTTTCCATCTTAGATTGCAAAACTTGATTAGAAAATGCAAATTCAATCAATCGATCTTACAGAATTGTAGAAAGTCAAGGGAATGGTCATTGATGGTGTAGGATCATTGTGATAACACAATATGACTTTGCTTCTTCTTGTCTTCCTACTGTCTTGTTACCTCTTTGGAGGATGGAATTCCGTTTCATAGATGTTGCCATATGTTCCGTATCACTCAGTTTTAGGGTTTATTCCATTTCCACTTTTTCTGATAGGATTTCACATTTGTGATCTCTATTCCTCTTCCTGGATAATATAAATTACCAAATGACCTGTTCATAGAAGACGCTACCTTAAATGGACATACACATCTAGATGATAAATCTTTCTGTAGTGGTAAGCACACATCCTGAGCACTTTTTTTGACTTTATATATCTCTTTAGCTAATTCATTGACTTCTTGCTAATGCCTTTTATGATATTTCTGGGGTGGTTTTCTTTTGATTTTAATCCAAAAGCATTTTATATGCATACTATTGTAACCTGTTGCCTTTATTGATTGATAACCATCAAAACCTAACAAAGCCGGTTGCATTTGCTAGGATGTAGGTCAAAAAATCTTGATGTTCATGCAACATAGCAAGCGTGAAATGTGTATTATTTCAGCATCTGGTTCAGTTTCTAATGCATCTTTACGCCAGCCATCAACATCTGGAGGCACTGTTACATATGAGGTAGACACTATTTTACTTTCCTACAAAGCAATGAATTCTCCAAATAGAGCTTATGCAGATGTAGTGGTTTTGATCTTCTTGTACTACTTGGTATAATTAATTCCACAAACAATTGGTTTTGTCCTTTCAAATGAATCCAATATGAAAGTGTAGCACGCAAAATGTATTGTAAGCAAAATATAACCTCAAATATAAGGGTGAATCTGTATATTGATAATGCCCTCTTGAAATAGATAAGGAATTAGTCTGTTATGTGATCTTATCCTCTAAACTATAGGTGCTCAGAATCAACAGCAAATTGAGCATCTACACCTATAGTTCCATTAAAATGCCCTACTTTCCAACACCTATAAACACACTTACACCCATCAATACACCTACTTAAATTAGGAAATAGGATATAGTCCTTGAAATCCTCAGTCTTTTCATCATTAGGGATCCCAAACTTATATATACTTCTGGGGTTTCTATTCCGGATTATGCAGTGGGTCATGTGTGTCATTGGACTGTCATACACCAGTTTCTAGGAATGCGCTGTGGTCTGGAGCTGGGTCAAGTTTCACCTTCCAGTTGGAACATCTGCCATAATTATTCACTAGATATGAAAAATGGTTATAAGCTCTGGGGATAGATATGTAATGAGAGGTCACTCCTCTGAACATTAATTCTTCTAAAGAGTAAGACAGTTTTTGTGAGTAATTGCTTCTTTTGAGTTATAATTGTTATTCAACGACCATTTCCCGATTTCAATCTTTTTTGAATTCTCTCATATTGCAATAATATACTCATACAAACAAGGGGAATAACTTCCATTTCTAAGTTAATGAAAACTCTTTGTCAAACTTGAAAAATGAAAGTTTGTTATTTACCGTTAATATTGCTTAGTCTTGAAAATTAGACCAATAAGAGTAGAACAAAAAATGCGTGTACAAATAAATATGAACCTGGGAGTAGAGAAATGCGTGTACAAATAAATATGAACCTGGGAGTAGAGCTCATACTAACTATATGTTTACTGGCGACTAATGGACTGCATATGCTAATTCATATGTGACTTATCTTTGGTCATATATTAAAATTCAATCTGGTAAAAGAATAGTCTCATCTGGTAATGTCAATTTCTTACGACAATGCGTAAAAGCATAGGTCTGATTATCTTGTATCTCTGTTATGCCACTTAGAAGATTTTTTAATGTGAAATCAGTGCAGAATTGACAGTGCCTAAGAAACATTCCTTGCATTTTGTGTTTTCAAATTATTCACTATATATAATATACGTGGTTTACATTTTCATAATAACCGCAAGGTTGTGCTGCATTGTTGTTAAATTTGTTCAATAATGACCAATGAGATGATTTACTATACTTGCTGCCTGATAACTTGATTGTAAGCTATCAACAATAATTTCAATGGGGGTTAGCTATATAGCAAGAAAAGCTGGATAGTTGAATTTTGGCTTTGATAGTGTTCTGTGTTTCTTTTCACCATCAAGGACAATTCCTAAGTGGTTTTTCTGGTCTCAGGGACGATTTGACATTCTCTCTCTATCTGGATCTTATATGTGTACTGAACTTGGAGGTCGAACTGGAGGACTTAGTGTGTGTCTGGCTAGTACTGATGGCCAAATCATTGGTGGTGGAGTCGGTGGACCCCTTACGGCTGCAGGCCCCATTCAGGTAACATTTATTTATATCAAGATCGTAAGTGGGGGAAGAGATCTTTCTTTAGTTCTGCTGTCAGTTTCTTCGTGTTTGGATAAAATCCAATAGCACATTATCCAATTATTTGAGCGGTGGAAATCTTTTGTTGATGATGGTTTGCGTGTCATTACTGCCGCTGTAAGAGCGATCCATTTATGTTGAATCTAGGGTGTCATTGAAATGTGCTCCTTTTGCATACCTATTATTTTTTATCAGGGGTGTGGTCAAAATCCTTCCCAATTTTCCTTACTCTTCTATACTTGTTTGTGCTTACGTGGACCTGTGTACATGGACTGTGGCGATTCCCGAATATTTTGCTGACGAAATATTTTATCTCGTGAGCCTTTGTATGCTAGCCTTTGATATTAACTACTACGCGGGATGAAGTTTACCAGAAATCTGGTGTAAGTTACCCCAGGATGAAGGGCCCTATGGGTGTTTCTACTTTTTATTATATTCCCTAGTCAGGGATCTATGTTTTGACCCATTGCTGCTAAATAAAGAAGGATGGAAAAAAAAAAAAAAAAACTGTTATTTTTATTACCCTAAGCAGGCAGAAAATGGGACATGGGCATGGCATCTAGGCCAACGAAGGACAAACATATGAAACTATATATGCTATATCGTACAAGTTTTTTTAGCACCATATACCAAATAGTTGATGACTTATCTATTGATGGCGTTAATAGGTTATAGTTGGTACGTTTCTAATTGATACCAAGAAGGATATGACTGGTGAAGCTAAAGTTGATGCTACTGCCAGCAAGTTGCCATCACCAATTCGTGGTGGGGCATCAGTTCCAGGCGTAAGCTTCCGAACACCATTTGATTCTTCTAATCGGAATGTCATTGGAAATCAATTTGTGATTCATCAAAGGAACATGCAGTTCACACCGTCAGATTCCATGGATTGGAGAGGTAAAACAGGTCACGGCGCACTCAATTCTCCAGAAAACGGTGATTACGAGCATATTCCCGAGTAGAGGAGGTACTGTTATATGATAGGGTTATGCTTGGGATACATCGTGGCATCCATCATGGTGTCCAAAATGGACACACGGCACCTCGGCGTTGGCTGAGGTGCCTGCCACGTCGGGGCCCACCAGCACCTCGGCCAATACCGAGGTGCCGGGTGTCCATTTTGGACACCATGTTGGACACCTCGATGTACCTTGAGCATTTTTCTATATGATAACCTCTGGGAGTTGCCATAGTGTACAGGTTTTTATGGGTTTTTCTTTTGGCAGCTGACCAATGTAATTCTTGATGTATTACTGTAAATTATCTGCCAACTCCTTGCCCTTCCATGTTTGTCGTTTATATTGATGCATCAAGTTGGCCAATACCGTTTAACATATGAACATTATGTTTGCTATGTAAAAGTGGACATTGAACAAGACTAGACATAACAGTAAACGTGATTTTTAACCCCCTTTTCTTCTCATATAAAATTCTCGAGTCTCGTGTAGCACTGCAGCATCAGGTAGCTTCAAACACTCCAATCCATTTCTCATGAGATTAGAACTGTTGGGACATGTTTGTTATACAGTAGTCGTCGAGAATTGTAGTACAATAGGCAATTTTTTTCCCCTTCTCTGCCAGCTTCGTTAAATAAGAGGTCTAGTAATAAACTGTAATTGAAAATAATCTTCCGGTCTTGAGCAAGTCCATAAATATATTCTTGAAAGATAAGTGGATATAAGGAGTGTTGTTGAATCTATAGTTGTGAATATCTTTGGATTTCTTTCATTTGAAATTTTGCCCTTGTTTGAGCTTTATTATTTTCATCAAAATATATTCTTCAAAACTTTTCTTTATTTTTAAATTATATATTTTTCATGAATATATTATTCAAAAATGTGGCTCAAACAAGAGCTTTATTTGAACCAAAGTTAGAAGAATTTTTGGGGTGTGCAATATAGTCAAAACAAAGAATCCTAGTAAAAGTAGATACCTAGGAAAAACGGATAACCTATCTGTTTGGGCTTCATTTTCTTTAGAGAATGTATTTTGAAGGAGTACGATGTTTGTTCAAACTCAAAGGTTGGGAAAAAAATAGACTAACTTGACGGTAGATGATTAAGTGTTTGTTGCTTTTATTTTTTAAACAGTACAATCATGTGTTCACACGTGTGCACCCTTTTTTAAACCTATTTTTTAGTCTGATTGTGTAGCATCTTTTCATTTTGAAATAGGAGATTGATGGAGAATGTGTGGTTAAAAAATAAAGAAATTTTTTGAATTTACATGTAATATTATTTTATTAAAAAATGTGTGGTTGAAAAGTAAAAGGAGAAAATGTCTTTTGAAAATAATGGGATCAAACAAATGCTAAAATTGTAAAAGTAATTTGTACACTATTGTCAAAAGATCCACTCTTTTTTTTTTTTTTTTTTTTTT